TCGATTGAGAGGCATCTGAATACCCGGGCTCAGGCGTCAGTCGTTCCGCTTTTGATGTGCCTCGGCATCAGGCGACCGTTCCTTGAATATTGAAAGTATGGCCAGCCGCTTCAGTATGAGGTGCAAGCTACGAGTTTGGGGGTCTAGTCTCCGACCCGCCAGTTTGTGTTCATGTATGCGAGTCTCCAGTTTTTGCCTTGTTTTTCTCACATACTTGCAGCCCCCTCGTTGCAACATATTTGGTAGACAACTGCAGAGATGAACGCAGTTCTCATGACAAAAGTTGAATTCTACTATAACAAGCCGTACATAGCAAGTTACGACTTCTCTGACATCGCCGATGTCTATCTGTGGTCTAAGAGCTATTCAGTTGATTCGTTTCTCCTTTTATAGTAGCTCGTGGTGTGTATATAGCACATGGCTGACCGTGATGCTAACCTGGTAACACAGAGGCAGTAGATGCGTTGTTGACAATATACTTTTTCAAAACGGAAGTGTACGCCTTGAATTTCGCTCAGGATAGACGCTGAAACCCTCCGAATTCGTCGGCAACCCCCCGGTATCAGCGTTCGAATAAATCAGACGCAGGCGGCTGCCAAAAAGTCACTGAACCAGGGTGTGAGCATACAAGTTATGAATGCAGTATCGTTTTTCTCTTTTCGCGGGTGCTACATCTTTTTCTGCATATTGGAAAAAAAAATGTTGCACCTGGAAGTGCGCTGCATTCTCCGCATTTGTTTGAGCGATCACGCCGCGGCAATCAACTGCCAACTGCACCGCCTAGCTCAGTGAATTCAATGGCTTGGCCATGTGCCAAGCTGTGACATCAAAGCACATTCATCCGGGATTTGACCTATTTTGAACTACGCGGACATGGATGCCAGTGGTAACGATGCAATCAGCTGATGAGGTGGGGCAGCGGGGGAGGGGGGGGTGGAAACTGACATCCAACACGACTCTGGCATCGCGATTTTCAGTCCACTGGGTGGTTGTTGTTATTTTTCGAC